CCACTGAACTTCTGTGGCCACCAAGCCACCTCTGACAGTCAGACAATCCAATTTTGGGGCTTATCGTTGTCTGTTCTGATGACCTCTTCAAGGTTGCTAATCTGAGAGTGGCAGATGCCAGAGATTTATTCAATTTATTGTGTTTGCATCTTGATTTTCTTCTAAGGAGGTAAAAGGGATCCGTGCGGTTCCTTCCCTTTCCAACACATCCTTCTTTGTTTATTATTTACCACATTTCTTTTTTTAAAAAAATCATTCCTTTTGTTTATTGCATTTATTCTCAACCATCTTGCGAGGTATCTGGAGAGGAAATGATTGGCCCAAGGAGCCTTCTGGTGAATGGTGTGTGCACAAGGACCTAAATTCACCCTGAAATTCATTAAATGAATGCAGTTAACCTTCAGCATAGAGACAGTAGGTGAGGAAGCCCGAGGAGGTTGGAGTGCAGTGGAAAACAGGTTGATCTCTCTTCATTCTCCTTTCTTCCCTTTCCCACATAGTCCTGATTAGAAAATGTCTCTTGGAAGAGCTGGTCCTGCCATTTGGCGTATAGTGTTTACCATTTTTAATAGAATACTTGATAACTTCTTTTTTAAACATTTGCATGCTTAACTGTTTCCATTAAATGTGCTTTCAAAGATCAAGTGGCCGTGGGTCATTTTAAGGAGAAAAACAGAGTAAAGACATTTTAAATAAATGTGCGACTCAGACAAATGGACCAGTACAAATCCATTTTGAGCAACAGTTCCCAAATTTGTGTCTCCAGATGCTCTTGGACTATGAACTTCCAGAAGCCTTCATCACCAACTGTGCTGGCCAGGATTTCTGGGAGTTGTAGTCCAAGAATATTTGGGGACGCAAGGCTGGGAACCTCTGTTTTAGAGGGCCGATTCATCATGTATTTGAACACCAGTCCTGTTCCTAGAACTTCTGAGATGCTCAGAAATAGAGGCATCTCACTGGAAGGACAGATCCTGGAGCTGAGGCTCCAATACGTTGGCTATCTCATGAGAAGAGAAGACTCCCTGGAAAAGACCCTGATGTTGGGAAAGTGTGAAGGCAAGAGGAGAAGGGGACAACAGAGAATGAGATGGTTGGACAGGGTCACCGAAGCTACCAACATGGATTTGACCCAACTCCAGGAGGCAGTGGAAGATAGGAGGGCCTGGCATGCTCTGGTCCATGGGCTCAAGAAGGGTCGGACACGACTAAACAACAACTGGGAATAGTCTTGAATCAGGGAATTGATGGATGGCTGCAGTGTTGCAGTGAGCTCTCCATGGTGCTGAACCCTCTCCCCCAAATTGGTTCAGCACCTTAGATGCAAAACTTTAGAGTTCTAACAAAAACATGGCATGGATTCACCACCCTGGTGACATCAGAGTCACCACAGCCTCTACTGGAATTATATACACTCTGTCCTTCAATGCAAACTCGGATGTGCTGGTAGTGCATACCAGAGGCATGAGAAAGTTACTGTCTGGATGACATCTCCCAGAGTCCGGTAGCCTTCCTTCCCCTCATCTGGGCTGGATTTGTGCACAAGCTACGTCAACTGCAGTGGTGGGCTTCAGATCATGAGAGGCTTCTCAATACAGGAAATCTGTTATATTAGAGATTTTGGATAATCTCTTGGGGTTATTTAAACCTGATGGTACGGTCTCTGCGTGTCTCAGTGCAGCCATATATATTTTCCACTGGTTATGAGGAAGGATTACTTTGTTTCTGGAAAAGCAATATTGGAAATACAATGGAGTACAGGAGATAGTACCCAGCCTCAACCTCTGGCCACCACAATTGTGTTGAAGCTGAAAGGTAATTTGTTTCACGCCAACAGAAGTACGTTTCTGTTCTGCTCAGGGCCTCGTTGAAGGTTTCCGACATGCAAAATAGCGATTGGCAATGGCTTTATACAATGCAGTGGTGCTGATGCGCTTTCTGCTTGTTCTTAGATCATCTTTTGTTGACAGCCAAGGTCTGACTTTGCTACTAGGAGATCTTTGTGGGGAAAAGATGGCAGGGAGGGGGTCTCATTGATAGTATGCCATCCAGGAAGGTACATAACATCCTAGTAATTACATCTTTTAGTTTTTGAGACTTTATGTTACAGCTTCCACTGGCCTTGTGTATTGTTAGTGTCAAGAACGGAAGGGCCATTTAATGCAGGGTGGGGGGGAACGAAGGCCCCAGAGAGGCATTGATTTTCATAAAATGTGGAGTTACTCATTCATAATTTTTGTGCATTAGAAAGCTGTGCTAGGTTGTTGTAGAAAAAAATAAGCAAGAATCTTTCAGCAACTTAAAGGCTTTTTGTTCTGTACAGTTGAGCTGTTTCGGACTTACGGCAAACCTAATAAAGATTTTCAGCTATCTCAGATATTTAAAGAGCATTTTTATTGCTGCCACTGCTCCTTGAGTTTGCTTGGCGGAGTGGAGATTTGAACCCAGGCCTCCTGAGTTGCTCTAGCTACTACACCGCACTGCCAGTCACCTTTAAGACAGTTCACCCAAGGGTACAAAGGGTGGCCCTTTTCCACAGCGGGAAATCAAACTCCCCACCTCAGGGCTCTGCAGTCAGAAACTTAAGCTCTTGAGCTATCCAGCCAGCTATGGGTGCGAAGAGAGATTTAGAAAAAAAAAGTTAGTCTAGAAATACAGTACTGCTTCCTCAGCAGAGTGGGGAAACTGTGATACGAGGGACATTTAACAAACAAACAAACAATAGCAATAGTAGTATCAAGAGCAGTAAATCTGAGTTGTTGAAGAGCTAAGCAGCTTCTTGACCTTGGTTTGGCTATGTCTTATAGCAACTTTGGGCTCTTTGTCCAAATAAATAATTTTAATTACACTCTTGAGCTGCAAGCAACTGCCAGATCTAACTTGGTTGGTTCCTGGGTAGTTCCTGGGTAGCTGCTCAGAGTAGACTTCGGTCTAGATGGGCGGGGTATAAATATGATAAATAAATAAATAGTTGAGAATGGATTTCTATGTCACAAAGTTGTGTGTGTGGGGGGTTGCTTAACATTTGAGATTTGTGTGTTGACATTCTGGCAGAGGTTCGAAATGCTACTCTTTTTTTGTGGGGTGGGTGGGAAACCAAACTCCAAAAAGGAAAGATTTCCAGGCTTTCTGCTGGAAGCGTCCCCGTGCTTCTCCTGTGTGAGGACATCTGGCAATCCAAGTGTTGCTGAACATCCTCGGCGTTGGTGGTGTGCAATTAAGCCTGCCCTGCAGGGATTAATCGCCTTGCAACGCTGCGTGAGATTCCTGCTGGCAAGCGCAGGGGATTCCATGCAGCTGTTTTGGGCTGGGGGAGCAGGAAAGACCCATTGAGGAAGGATTTGCACGTCTCAGCCACGAGTGGCCTTTAATCATCACCAGCAGCTTAGAACTACAGAACTGACCCTATGGATTACTGAATCCAGCCCCTCTCAGCACAGTTTTGCTAATACCACTTCGCTTGTTGAGGGAGGCTCGTAGCAAAACCATTCACCACCAGAAAGGTTACTGGCTTCATTCATTCATGAACTGGGAAACCAGTGAGGTTTCAACAGGCATGCTATGCATTTATAGTCCAGTTTATTTAAGTGAAGTCTAGAAAATGGCACTGTTTCAATATATATATTCAATGAAGAAGGCTAGGGGAGAGCGCACGTGTTCTTCTAAAAGACATCATGTTCTTTATTGTCGTCTTGCAGGCATCCCAGCATGAGACGGTCCATCTCTTCCTTGTGCCATACTCGGTGTCCCCAAATACATACCGTAGCTTCTACCTTATGATTGCATCTGACTGTTCCGTTTAGTTCCTGCTGTTCCCCGTGGTCAAGGTTTCTTCCTTATCCACTTAAGGAACTTTTCGTTTTCTTTTTTATTCCCCCTGTGGTCCTCATTATCCCATTTCCCCCCCTTGCTGGCTTTTATATTTGCTTCTGTCCGTCATGTGGCAGTTACAAGACGTAACAGTAGATTCAGTCGGTGGGTATGTAGTAAAACGAATGCATCAGCAGCGTCCCTTTCTGGAGAGATCTGATCCGGCCACTCTCACACAATGCCCTAGTTACTTTCCAGCTGGATTACTGCAATGCGCTCTACGTGGGGCTGCCAATGGAAAGTGTCAGGAAACTTCAGCGGGTCCAAAATGCAGCAGCCAGATGAGATAATATACAATAGTTTCATCCTGGCTGGATTACATGGGCTGCCTCTGGAAAGTGCTCGGAAACTTCAGCCGGTCCAAAATGCAGCAGCCAGATGGCTGACTGGGGCTGGTTACGGGGATCACATAATCCCCCCCCCCCGGTTAGAGCACCTCCACTGGGTGCTGATCCATTTCTGGACTCCATTCAAAGTGCTAGTCTTAAGCTATAATTGCCCTAAATGGCTTGGGTTCAAGCTGTCTCAAAGAACGCGTCTCCCTCTACGAGCCTTCCCGGGCTATAAGATCATTGGGAGGGGGGCCTTCCATTGAGTCTCGCCACCCTCAGAGGTGCATCGGGTGGGGACACAGGAGAGGGCCTTGTCTGGTGTTGCTCTCGGACTCTGGAAGTCTTTGTACACTTATTGATCTTTGCCTTAATGTACTGCCTGTTAAATCTGTGCCTCTTTTCTCATTGCTCTTAGCTTTCAATCTTATTTTTTTTTTTAATGATGTGAGCCACTGTTGTATATTAATTGTTTTCCGTTTTAAATATTGCCTCTCAAGGATGCAAGCTGCCTTAGGGTAATTTTTTAAGGAGAAAAGCAAGCTAAAAATATTTTAAATTAATAAATAAATAAGGGTTGGAGTTTGCAGATGTTGCTTTCTTCCAGTACAAAGTGCAGAACCCTACGAGCCACTTTCCCCCAATCTGGTGATGAGACGGGGTGTAGACTCTTTTGAGTCCAGATAATGAATCCATCTTAGATACCTATGGAAAGAATTCCTGGTGATCCAGACCTGAACATCATTGTTTCAAGTTTCTCAAACTTGACTTAAACCTCTTTTTTTCCCTTTCCTTCCTTAGATTTTCCCTTCCATCTCAAGAGGATCTTAGGGCCATAATTCGGGGGCATAATTCATGCTGCCTAGAGATCCTTGCTCACCATGAGAGATGCCTTTCTCTCCCGATGGACTGCAAAGCTAATTCACCTCCTCTGGGTGAACCTCAGCTTCATGGAGGTAAGAGAATTGAAACAGCCCTGATCAGGCCAGCTTTGATCTCTCCACTGGGGATTCCTCCCGGCCCAGAAAAAAACTCTCTGGGTGTTTTGCTGTTGGCAGGTCTCTTGAGTCTTGTTGGGCTTTAAAGCTTGTCGAGTCCCATGGGGAAGAGGGGAAGCTAAAATCTATGGGGCAGGGAAGGGCAGAGGAGTCTGGCAGACTTTCGGGGAGATCCACGGTAAAGCACAGGTGCTATTGTGTGTGTGATGAGAGCAGCTTCTTGAGAATTACAGTGCCCTTCCTTTAATGAGAAAACAGCAGGTTTCTAGACCTCATGACTGCTAGGGAATGCTTGAAAATCTTTGGAGGATACCAACTGTAATCTCAGAAATGAAATAGATGGCTAAACTTGGCAGAGAAGGGGTTCAGAGTGAAAGATCAGTGAAAGATCTAGCAGAAAACTAGTTCTCTTCCCATTTGGTCCCCTTCGCTGGGATGTTTCTCCTCCCCCATGAAAAATGTTAGGGTTACCATAGTATGGCTGAAACCCTGTTTCTTAGCGTGGTGAGTCACAACTAGACTAGGATGATTGAGTCAGTGTGTATTGGGGTGTGTGGCAATTCTTCTGTAAGTTCCATTGATTCAAGGGCCTACACACTAGTTGCAACTTGCTTAACATAGTGAGTAGGACCATTGAAGCTCTGGAACATAACGAGGAATTGGCTCATCAAATCTCCACTGATTCACTGAGCCCACTCTAGACTAAATCAAATAATTTCAGTTGATGTGCGTTTGCATCTTGTGTTGCAGAGTTCCGACTTTCTGGTTAAATTTCCCCTTTTGAGGAACACCAGAAATGTGGAGATACTCAGAGAAGAATAGCTTCAGATACCCAAAAAGTCCACCCCTTTTCTCATTAACTGGCGCTTAAAGTATCAGTAACTCACTCTGGCACATTAGTGCTAGAAAGAGTAAAAAAATGTGTCACTATGTTCAGTTGGGGACAGCAAGCCACAAACTCACAAACAATTGACGGAACTGACTTTCAGCAGAGAAAAGAGAGGGAAAGAGAACACTCAGCAGAGAGGCGGGACTCTCTTTGAATTCAGAGTCAGGAAGGAATGATTGGTCAGTGCTGGATAGATTGACAGTCACCCCAGGCCAGAAAAGCCCCTCTCATCCAAACAAACAACAGGCAGCATGTGAGTTTGTAAAAACTCCAACATAGGGTGAGTGACCTGTCGGGTTCCAGGGTTATCAGAAGATTCCATCAGACTGTAAGTTAGGATCGTTAGTCAAACAGATGTCTTTTCTAATGCAAAGTTAGCTTTGCCTCCCAAATTCTTGTGTTGATTGGGATAGATTTTTCTTTCATATCCTCTGTTGCATATATTTAAATCTCTTGACAAGAGAAAGATGATGTTTCAGTCAAGCTGGAGGAGACAAAAGATTAGTAATTATAATTTATTACCGTCAGTGACCAGGAAGGACAAAAGATTAGTAAGGCATTGATATGGCAGTGATCTAACTTAAGCATTAATTCCACCCCCACCCCCACCCCCAACTTTAGACCTGCTGTGCGAAGGTGCTGGAAAAGACATTTGAACTATGGATGTTATATAAGGATGAGTGCTTCAGGAAAATGGCGAATGACCCTTATCCCACAGGTAAGGATTTCCTTTTCTTTCTCAATGGCCAGAACTTGGAAAGGTTCCTCTTTTTTTTTTTGGACTACATATCTCAGAACCCCCGGCCAATGATCATGCTTACTGGGGATGGTGGGAGATGTAGTTCTCTGAAAAGCAAACATTTCTGAGCTCTGACCGTTGTTTGTTTCAAACTGGCAAGGCTCAATGGAAAATGGTCTTCAAACTCGGTTTCAAATTTTTAATCCCTCCCCGAGGTATAGTGCTGTCCTAACAGACTTTTTAAAAAGACTTTTGCTTCCTTCCTCTGCTCCTCCACAGAGGACCAGAGGAAGTGTTTTAATTTCTCAATATCGTGAGTGGTCAAGCTGTTTCCTTAAACCACTTAATGATATTGGGAAATTGAAAGTGGAAGGGAAATTTAAACCCACGAGCGCCACTTTGGTTGGATCCCACAGGGAATAAATCAAAACAAAGCAACCCTACCTACAATGCGGTGCTCCATGACAGAAGCCCAGAAAGGTTCAGGCAGGAGCAGTTGGGTTCACCCTGGCACTTACGTCATCCGGTTCCCAGCAAAAGAAGTGAACCAGCCCATCCCCAGAGTGGACCAAACAGCGGGATGAAGCCTCATCTGATTGCACCCTCTTGGTAATTTTTCTTGCAAGAGTTTAGCAAGGCTCCTTTCTTGGGAACAGTTACTATATTTGTTTTTTTAAAAAAGCTAATAAAAGTTAGTAACTCACAGGTAGCACCATCATGCTTTTCATGAGATTAAAGGAACTTCAGCTCTCCAGAGTTTGCTGGATGCCAGTCTAGCCCCTTCTAGCCTGCCCAGTATCGAGGGTTGATGAGAAGAATCGTTCATGAAGCATCTGAAGAGCCATGCGTATCCCAAGGCCAGAACCTCATGTGTCTTGAGAGCGAGAGCCACCCGAGGTTGCATTGGTCTGTTACGGCTTCTTCTACCCCTGGAAAAGTTATCTTTGCCAAGGCGACCAAGAAAAAGATTTGCATGCGAACCGCGTAGTAAGTCTGCGCTAAGCTGTTTTCCAAGAGGGAAGAACTGGGGACAGCTTTTCAGGATTGCAGTCATTCAAAGCAGCCAAGAGGATGACGTCAATCGCAAGGCTGGTTAAACACGCCGGTGGTTGCCTGGGTAGCTCAGTGGGTTGGAGCAGCCGGCAGCGGAACCAGAGGCCCAGAGTCCAGATCCCCGTTGTGCCTCCCGGGGAAAAAACTCGCTGGTGCGGCCATGAGCGAGCCGTGTGGCCCCAGAGCGGCGACAGACGGAGAGACGGGGAAACAAATTCTGAGTCCTTTGTAGCTGGAAACTATTGGGGAATGAGATTGACCGTGCATTGTTATTATTAAGAAACATGACCCCATCTCATTCTTTTATATAAATGTTCCGTTCAGTAAAACAATTAATTAAAAATACAAATATATAATAAGAATTAGGAAATACTAAAGCAGTGGTCTCCAACTTTTTCCATACTGCGGACTGGTTTACCGTATAGGGGAGCTGGGGGCATCTGTGGGGGGGACGCCCATGCATGTGTGCATAGATGGGGCACCTGCTTGTGTGTGCGTGGAATGGGCAGGGCAGCTGTGCATATGTGGCTGGGGGGCAGGGCACCTGTGCATGCATGTATGTGTGAGTGGGGCATCCGTGGATGCATGTGGGGAAGCATGCATGCATCTGTCCATGCATGTGTGCATTCGTGCCTGCGGGTGCCCGGGAGATCTGTCTCCGCAGTTCGGTCCAGGTTGGGGACCCCAGGAATAGAGGTAAAAAGGTAAAGGTAAAGGTTCCCCTTGACAATTTTTGTCCAGTTGTGTTCAACTCGAGGGGGCGGTGCTCATCCCCATTTCCAAGCCATAGAGCCAGCGTTTTGTCCGAAGACAATCTTCCGTGGTCACATGGCCAGTGCGACTTAGACACGGAACGCTGTGACCTTCCCACCGAGGTGGTCCCTATTTATCTACTTGCATTTGCATGCTTTCGAACCGCTAGGTTGGCGGGAGCTGGGACAAGCGACAGGCGCTCACTCCGTCGTGCAGATTCGATCTTACAACTGCTTGGTCTTCTGACCCTGCAGCACAGGCTTCTGCGGTTTAGCCCACAGCACCACCCACGTCCCTTCTACTGATGGAAACGCCTGTCTAAATAACCAGATTTTTAACAATTTTTTTTGAAAGATTGAAACAAAGTCGTAAAATGTTTTCGCTGGGAGGTAATCTAGTGTTGCAGAGTTTTGAATTTCTGGTTAAAATTCCTTGTGCTGTGCAGTAGAAGTACATAGACTCACCGAGGTGAATTGCTACAAGTTCCCCAAAAAGTCCACCCCTTTCTCATTAACTAGCCCTTAAAGACTCGATGACACACTCTGAGACATTCGTAAGAGAAAAGAAGAAAAACATGTCATTACAACTGTGAACAGATCAATAGCAAACGATTAACACCGCTTCCAACAGGGAAAAGGAGCACTCAGCAGAGAGGCGGGGCTCTCTTTGAATTCAGAGATGGGAAGGAACGATTGGCTAGAGTGTTAGTGACTGACAGTCAGCCCTGCCCAGAAAGGGCCATGGGGAAGGATCTTCTAACACTTAGCTTAAGCTCTTGCCCTTCGGCACTTCTGCCCAATACTTCGAGTCCTGCCTTCTGGAGCAACAGAGAGGACGTCTGGCGTCCTTATGGATAGAAGGATGGAGCAAACCAGGCTGTCCCAGAGCAAGACCTCCAGGACCCCAAGCAGAGTTTGGAAACCGTTCTGACCACAAGCCCCAGCTTTCGCTCCCGTCATCCCTGGTGGTTGCTCAAGCCCGAACCAACTCTGCCGGCTTCTGTCTCTTCCAGAGCTCTTCTGCAACCGGACGTTTGACATGTACGCGTGCTGGCCGGACGGAAGCCCTGGAACCATCGTCAATGTCTCCTGCCCTTTCTACCTCCCCTGGTATGAACAAGGTAAGGCTGTTCGGTGGTTGGGAACATGGGGTGCTCTGTGCAGAGCAACCCCACGGAATTTGCTTCCTAGACACGTAGAGTTTTCTGCGCTCTGACCCTCCCAGCTGTGATCTGGGGCAGGGTCTCCAGATGTTCTTGGACTGCAATTCCCAGAAGCCGTCAACACTGGCTGTGCTGGCCAGGCTTTCTGGGAGCTACACTCCAAGGACATTTGGGGACCCCAGCTTGAGAACCACTGATCTTGGGGACCCTTGCCTGTCACTAGTTTCTGAACATGTGCAGAGTGCCTGCTGATCTTCCATCTCTGTTCATTTCTGGCGAGAACCTTGGTGCCTTGCCAGCGGTGTAGCCACTAAGGGGCAGTTCTTTGCTCTCTGGTGATGGGCGAAGGGGCTTTTTTGACTTATTATAACAGGCTTCCTGTCATGAATTACCACATACAGGGACGAAAAGCTGGCCTCCTTTGGGCCGCATGATTGTTTGGTGGCTCCGCCATCTAGTGGCCATCCAAGATAGAGCAGCTGTTGCACAGATGGAAGCAGATGTGTACAGATGTGCAGGACCTTGGTGAGTGGGTGGGTGTGTTTGGACTACAGCTCCCAGAATTCCTCAAACATCCATGAAACGTCAAACTGAAATAAATGTCAGCCTTTATGGTGCTGCAACTCTTTGGTGTTTATTATATGTGCCTGGGAGGTCACCAATATATTGCGCTGACAGCAGGATTCAGCATTCCGTAAGTCAACTCAAAAAAATAGGGACGCCCCAAACAAAAAGTTATAACTATGAAACTGGACCTTGGATCAGCTCCAGATTTGCCGTGTGTATATCAGAATGACTGCTCTTGCTCTGTGCCAAATGTTGGGATGTTTGGGCAAAGGGGTTTTGACTTATC